CTCCTCAGACAGTCTGGACAATAATTGTTTACATCCATCGGGTCTGCAGCTTTAGAGCAGAATCACAAGTGATCAGCTAATTCTGCCTCAGCATCAGCTGAGATGCGTACTGAACCACTTTCCACCACCTACCAATGCATCTAATTTGTGTTTGTTTGTGTTCCCATGAGAATCGAAACCAACCCTGCTTGGTTCAGACTCAGTGGCAGACCGGAAGGAGCCTTAGCGATAACGCAGACAACCACAGAGCTCTCATTTCCTGTCTGGTGTGTCACGTGTTTCAGTAGATTCACCGCCGCTCTCCGGCTCTGCAAAGGAGCGAGAAGCTCCCAATCAGCGTGAGCAGCATGCTAGCAGCGGGGAGTCTATTCCTGGAGCTGATGAAGGGCTTTCTGGGACTATTTTAGTCCAATGAAGCAGCAAAAAAAAAGAAAAACATCTCATCATAGCCTTGTCATTGTGTTATTATTTGAAGCTGAAGGGAAGGGGGGTGACCTCAAAGCTTATTTTGATCTCTAATAAAATCACATTTCAGCTAAAAAGGGAAGAAATGACAGTAAATGGACCCAAATGAATCACTTTTCTTTTATTTTTTACGTCTTTAGCATAAAGCTCTATTATGGATCATAGAAACATCCCAGTCTATACAATCAACGGACAAAACAGCAGAGGTTCATCGAGAGATGACATGTTCAGCATGAACAACCCCTGGTCCCAGCTCAGAGTTTGGTCCAACCTAAACAGTTTAATCCAGTCTAAATAGTTCTGATTACAAATCAGAAATATTAAAATTGGTACAGATTTCTTCAGTGTTAGCTCAACCGATTGCCATTCAGAACTAATCAGGAGGGAAACTGGCCATCCCACTTTGCTGAACTGATTAGTGCGTCTGTAAGTGGAACTCCAGCAAGTCAGAACAACCCGACGGATCAGTTCTGCGACATCTTGCGGATCATGTAGTTGAGAATCCCTCCGTGGTGGAAGTAGGTCAGCTCCACATCCGTGTCAAACCTCACGAGCACCTTGAAGGTCTTCCCTGTGTCGAGCTGCGAACGCAGGACAGAGCTCATCAGATGACACGTTCAGAGCCATGTCACGGAGAATGCCACCTACGCTTACCTTCACGTCCACCATCATGCGCGGCGTGAGCTGCTCGGGGAAGAGGATGGTGTAGCGCTCCTGGCCCGTCAGCCCCAGGCTCTCAGCGGTGTCTCCTGGGAGATACTCCAGAGGAATCACCCCCATTCCAACCAGGTTACTGCGGTGGATTCTTTCATAGCTCTCTGCTAAAACCGCCTTGATCCCCTACAAAACAGAAACATTCAAAAGCACTTTCACAGAGCAGTGCAGTTTTTTTACTGGGACAAAATAATGGAGATCAGCCTCAATTTTCACAAATACACATATGATTTATACACACAGTACAAGATCCACACATGCACAGCATGATTCACTCAAACACAAAAAAATCCATATACACAAAGTACAAGATCCACAACACGCACAGCACGACTCACGCAAACACAGAAAAAATCCACATGCACAAAGTACTAGATCCACACACGCACAGCATGATTCACGCAAACACACAAGATCAACATACACACAGTACAAGATCCACACACACACAGCACGATTCACGCAAACACAACAAAATCCACGTACACACAGTACAAGATCCACACAAGCGCAGCACGATTCACGCAAACACAGAAAAAATTCACAAAGTACAAGATCCACACACGCACAGCACAATTCACGCAAACACAGAAAAAATTCACATACACAAAGTACAAGATCCACACACACACAGCACGACTCACGCAAACACAGAAAAAATCCACATACACAAAGTACAAGATCCACACACGCACAGCACGATTCACGCCAACACACAAGATCCACACATGCAAATGCATTTTTTAAAACTATGATAGGGTAAGATATAGTTTATAAATAATTATCAATTATTTATAAACAATTAATAAATAATTAATGGTTTTGTTCCCATTTATATATGGTTGTTGTAAAGTCTTTTTCATCAAAAGGTGATACAAATAAAAATACATCCATGGAACAAAGGTTAGTTTTTAAATTTCTATTCTTTATTTAGTTTTGACTTCTGATTTTCAGCTCTTTTTTAGTTTGAAATTATTTTCAGCATTTGTTAGCTAGCTTAGTTAAGTTTTTATGTGTTTTGTTTGAAAATGCTTAGTTTCAGGTTGACCTTTGTTCGTTTCAGTTTTAGTTTTTGCTTTTTATGTAATACGACTCACATTACTATGAAAAGGCAAAAAATGAAAAACAAAACAAAAACTAAAAACATTCTCTGTTATATTCTGTTTTAACAGAATTTTTTTTTTGCAAACTCTTACCATTGCTTATACTAAACTATTACGGTTCCTATAAGTTTTTGTCTTTTTCTGCAAGCCTAGTTTTGAGTTTTATTTCCATTAAAGAAAATGTGTTTTAATCAGAATTTTCATCAAATCTTTAGTTTTAGTTTTAATATCTTAGCAAAAACTAGAAATATTAATTTTACTGAAACAAAACATAGTGTTCCAAAATCTATAAATATTTCATTGACGCAAAAGGATTATGCAACATCAGGAATAAGGAAACGTTGTAGTCGAAGGTAAACACACAAACTTACGAAAACAGCATACCGAAAGTGAACTAGGCTAGTTTACTCACGTGTGATCTAATAAACTAAAAGCAGTAGTCGGAGTTAAGCAGAACTTAAAGCTAAACTGCTTTAAAGGGAAAGAAAAGCCTTACTTTCTGTGTTTGCAACTTCACAACCTGACGTAGCGGCTAACCTGTCAGATCGTGCTTGCGCATTTGTATTATATGCTACTCTGATGCGTATGCTGGACTGACAGAACACCGAATCAAAGGACTATGTTTATTTATGGTTTCTGCATTTATGGAGCATCTTCTGTAGCTCACCAACAGGAAGGGGCCCTTTGCTGCCCAGTCTCTGGAGCTCCCAGATCCATACTCCTTCCCAGCCAGAACCAGCAGAGGGACACCAGACTGCTTGTACATCTCTGCAGCGTCAAACACGTCAAGCTGGAGGAACACAGGAACGATCCGTCACTTCAGCAGCCAGGAATCGCTCATGAGATGTAGGAGATTAAAACTGATCAGACCGTTTTTCCGGAGGGAAAGTGGATGGTTTGAGGCGCCTGCTTTTTCAGGAATTTGTTGAAGAGGCGTATGTTAGCAAACGTCCCTCTGGCCATGACGGCGTCGTTTCCTCGACGGGAGCCGTACGAGTTGTATTCCCTCGGGGTCACGCTGTCAAGACAAGTCAGACAGAGGCTAAATTCGGCCACCTGACCGGAAACAGCAGAAAGATTTAAGGCGTCTGGCGGAGACTGACCCCCTGTCGGAGAGGTAGCGGGCGGCGGCGCTGTTCCTGGCGATGTTGCCTGCAGGAGAGATGTGGTCGGTTGTGACAGAATCACCCAGGTTCAGCAGCACATAGGCGTCTTTAATGGACTCTGGAGGCGGCAGCTTCATGGTCTGAATATGGATGAGACCCAAAAGTTTGAACAGTAAAAAAATAAAGATTATAACTCAATTTATTACACATTCTTAGTATAATATGCAGAGCAGATTTTATTCTTATTCTCTAAAAACTGAAACCTTCTTCCATTCTTTATAAACCAGCTTGATGCTGAAGGGGCAGATAGAAAATTCCTCCTCTGTAAATGATCATTTGCTGCCCCCTTCAGTTTCCTGGAGGAATTTCTTTAAGATCTCATCCCAGACATTGACTTTCCCTGAAATTCCCTGAAATTTAATTTCCCTGCCAAAGCTACAGGGGAGGGAAAACTACTGCCATGATGCCTTTTATTCCACAATAAATAAATAAATTATTTCTGGTTAGTTCATTAAAGTTAACCTTTATTTTTTAACCTTTAAATATAAAATGTGGAGAAATCCTTTTTATTTATTTATTTTTTTACTGGAATAAAAGGCAACATGGCAGTAGGCCATATATGCATTTCTGGTTGGTACAGACTGACTGAGCAACAGCACCCCCTGCTGTCTGATTGAGGGTGCTACACACAAGCCACAGCTCATTTTTACCAGTATGAAATTTTTGAAGGCCTAGCTTGTAAAGTTGAATTTATGACTCACAGCAGCAGATTTGTGCAGTTGTATTATTTTTATTTGTTTTAAGGAAAAAAAATTTGAAGATTTTAAAACATGCGTTTGAATTAGTTTTTGCACCATTTGTTTTAGATCAACTGAAGTATTTTTTTTATGTGCAACTCCCATAATACAATTTGTGTACTTGTACTCAATTATGAAGACGTGTAACTTTTTCTTGTAGTTGTGACACATAAAAAAAAAAAAAAATACAATTATAAAAAGTGACAATGCACGAATAGTTTTGCAACAATAGTTCTGGAACGTTTGGAGCAAAACTGAGAATGTAAAAGGTTTTTGATGTGCAACTTGTAGAACGGAATTTGTGTGGCTGTACTTAAAATTTGAACAGGTACAAAAAATTTGTACTTGTGAATTTTTTTTAATTCTACAAATACAAAACTTAGAATGTAACTCTCTCTACAACTTCAAATTCACACTTAAGGGCAGATTATACGTCTGGTCATGAACCAGTTTTGATGGTATGCTTCTGCACCGTTGGTCTGGAATTTTAGGGACGCACAGCATTTTCCCGGCAAAGAGCAAGGGGGAGCCTAATCGAGAACTCGCGAGAACTTTGGCCGATTGTGCTTCCGAACCACCTCACAACGGTCGACTGAGATTCAAACGTTTTATTTTCACCCGACCTCATGATTCCTGATTTGGAGTCATCAAAAAATTCTCAAACGACTGGAAAGTCGCCTCAAAACTATGTGGTTTGGGACGGCCATTAATGTGGCGGACCTTCTCCGGGGAAGCGCAAATGGAGCGATAGTGTTTGGAGGCCGATTTGGGATTCAGCCTCAGCTTAAGGAGCATCAGTGCTGAAATGTACTGTGTTGGGGGGGCAATAGGCATAAAACATCTGTATCGGCTTAAATTTCAGCGTGTTGGCGACATTATCAGGCAGTTCTGTGTCGTTTAAAGACTTTCATAACGCCGTGCTTCTGAGGTCTTCTTTTGGGTTGCATTGATTTCCTGCGTGTTGCTTCTCTGAGTAAACTCTCACCTGTGCTTCATCTTCAAACGGTAAAACGAACTGCTTGTATTAAAGTCAAACTGAGGCTGTGTAACTGCTCTTTGTCTCGGAGGCATGAACGTCGCATGAACCAGCTCTTGCGGAGGGGCTTTTAGCATTTTTTTTGCTTTGGTTGCACTAAACAGCAGCTGTGTAAATTTTATTGATAAGAAGCTTTCTTACCAATCCATCAAAGAACGGCGGCGACTTGATGTAGGTTGATTTATCATCCCAGGTGTACAGACTGTCTGAGGGAACAACCAGAGAGTTCCAACGTTCATTCACTTTCTGCAATGAAATGAAAACAGATCAAGACCCTGAAGGTTGGTTTTTATTTCTTCCATCATTTTAACAGACATTGGATTCTTAGCACCTCAATTTTTTCATAGACTTCTTTAAACATCGATGGGATGACAAATTTTCTCTCCACTTCCTGGATCTCATCCCGAGTGGGCCAGATGTCCCTCAGGAAGACCGGTCTGCCCTCGGGGTCGGTCCCTGCATCGGAGGAAAAGTAGGCGTGACATTCAGGCCGTAACTGAAGCTCAATGTTTTAGGTTTTTCCACAACATTTGGCATAAAAACAAGTGAAATTAAGAAAATCAATATAAAAAATTAGGAGCGGTTTATGGCGTTATTTTTGGTATATGATCTAGATAAATTACGACAATCAATCACCCCCTCATCGACTGAAACGGAGCCTGTCGAGTGGGGTAGTCCAGTTTTTCTATATCCTTGTAAGGCCATATGATGAGGCATCATCACCATAAGTTACTTTCATTTCATCAAAACTCTCCTGTGGTGTTCGTCCTTTCAAATACAAAAAAACGGATCACTGCTCGACAGTCAACAGGCTCCGTTTCAGACGTGACTCCGCTCAAACACCTGTAAATCAGAAACAACAATTAGCTCACAGCTGGAATTTGCCACTAAATCTATAGATATAGAAATAATTGCACATGCAAAAATTCAGCTAGATCAAACACGTGGAAGTGGGTCAGGGGCACTACTCCTGGAACGCCTTTAAATGGTAGAAAAACGCTTTCTTGTATACTCAGATTCTTTTTCTTTATTTTCTTGAGCATTTTATGCCCCCAAACTAC